GGGTCTCAAACCCACAGGCTCAGGCAGTCCACTCACCTCGGCCTCCCAAAGTGCTGGGATTACAGGCTGAGCCACCAAGCCCGGCCCTGAGGTGTTTTCACTCCTCCTCCAGTGTACTGTCTGCTTGCATGAAGGGGAGGTAAACAAAAAAGACCTGATATGATTGAATCAGGTCAAATGCCTATATATATATAAGATGCCCATTGAGTGCAGTGGGGAAACACAGCATGCGTGTGGGGGAGCTGGGGTTGGGCATTGAATATTTGCATCTGAGGTCCTCAAAAGGTCTTTGCTAGATGTGCTTTCTCTTCCTGGCATTTTTCTACTTTTTATTTTTATCTGAGGTAAGTAGTTTTTATTCATTTGTAAGAATTTTTTACATCTTAAGGCTATTAACCTTTGGCATATGTTTCTATCTAAAAGAATGTTTTTCTCAGAGATGGCTACCATAAATGGTAGGAAGGCAAAGGTGCCACATAATGACCATTGTTTTTTGGGTTTGGGACACACTGGGTCTTAATATTTATTTAATTAAATCTATTGATGTATTATTTTATAGCTTCTGCTATAGTCATTTTATTATTCTTCCTTATTGCAAGTGGCTCCTCACTTCCATTCAGGGAGTGTTAATTAAGGGCCAGCTATGGGTAAGGTAGGGCCCCATGCAGCCCAAATTTGTAAATAAGGGGCTTAGGCCCTCAGAAGTTACCATTTAACGAGGGAAGAAAAAGTCATCAGCAACTTCAAGGCAGGGTGGGCACCCTCACCACTGGGGTAGCATCTGGTGGGGACGGGAAGGAAGGCCCCTTCCCTTCTTTCCCATTTAATGTTTTCGGGGCAATTCTGCTTCATCCTTTAGGACTGGGGGGAGCCAAAGCTGAAAAGAGTGAAGTCATCAAATCTAGTGACTTCCAGGCAGTGTTGAAAACCTGAGTTTAGTGGGTATGTCACCAATAATTTTCAAAGGATTTCCATTTTTTGTAAGATAAAATGGAGTCAAGGTTATCTGCTGCACACCATCTCAGCCAGCCACTTGTTTACATTTAGTCATTTAACAAACATTTATTGAACCTGTGCTATTTGCTAGGCCTTGGGAATACAGAAGTAAACAAAACAAGCAAGGCCCCTGCCTTCTCGGGGCTTACATTCTTGTCAGGGGTAGCCATAATAAACAAGTGAACACGGAGAATTAAAGATTTTGGTAATTGTTGAGACAAATAGTTTTGGGGGACAACATCTCTAAAGAGGTGATGTATGAGCTGAGACTGTAGGGAAGATGAGTGTCTTAGTTCATTGTGTGTTCCTAGAACAGAATACCTGTGAATGGGTAATTTATCATAAACAGAAATGTATTGGCTCACAGTTCTGGAAGCTGGGAAGTTCAATATCAAGGTGCTGACAACTAGCAAGAGCCTTCTTGCCACATCATCACATGGCAGAAAGCAAGAGTGTAAGAGGGAGGAAACGAGAGAGAGAGTGAAAGGAGAGTAAACTCCCCCTTTTATAATGAGCCCACCCC